GTTCATCTGTTTCTGTTATTCCACAGTAACTGCAGCTATCTGACTCACTTTTTCCTATTATATACAATGAATAATTAAGGTTAGAGTGTCCTATACGGATCCTGGTTATAACAAACGTAGTTTTTAAGACGGAGCAATCATTTATGCGACTTACCAGCAGAGACTCTGCTGCTGATGACGTAGCTCCGCCCCGCAACATCATGTGCGCAATGAGTGATGCAACAGCCAATGGGAGTTTTCCCAATTTATGCATGAATTTAACTAATTATTTTAACTCCGTTACATACATATATATATATATATATATATATTATCTTGATGAGCTCTTTCGACTACCAAAAGGACACAAGTTAATTCTTAATAATTTTGGAGTTATTCATTAGAAACGAAAATGTTATAGAGGACTTTTTTGACAGAATATAGATGCATTATTAATAAAATAGGCTTTCTTTGGAGTTAAAGAAGTGACCTAATAGTGACATCGGTCTCCAGACCATCGACTCCAGCTGCCAATGCCTTCTCAAAAGACGTGTAGGTGTTTTCGGGGGCAATCTGAAAGAAGATACAACAAAGGATTTGCTTTTTTCAGTCTGCACATGGTACATTGCATGTCTGCTAAATCCTTTAGTGCCACAGTGTTGATATAATTGTTTGAGAAATATTGAACTACTAGAAAAAACGCTGGTCAATTTAGAGATTTTGTGTTATTTACCTACTTGCATCTGTAGATTTAATTTACAATACAAATCTTTAAAGGCTGTTTTCTCAAAATTAGTTTTTCTCTTGCATTGAGCCATAAGTCCCCACTTCAGCAACACTTTTACATAAACCAGATTTTTATAGTTTCACTTCTATGTATACTCTGAAGGTTTTTACAGAGGGGTTTGTTCCTATATAATTTTCTCGATTTTATGCAAACACTTTACTCCTAAAACAACATATTTTTCTTCTGGTTGTTGACAGTATTTTCTAATTTATGGAGCGATAAAAGGAGATATCCAAAATCCCAACTGAAATAACCTTTTAACTCTAACATGTCATCAAAATGTGATACAAATTTTGAACCTGGCTTTATCCAATTTTCAGATTTCTGTTCTGGAAATGTATGTAAATGAGTGCACATTTTATAAGATAATTCCTAATTTGCATCTTTAAATATAACATTTCCAAAAACCTGTAATAAATGTTTGCAATTCTTAATGCAATTGATTAAACTGAGAAGTATGGTGATATCTTTTTTTTTTTTTTACCCTATTCACCTGGGGTATCTTTCTTAAACTATAAATGAAGAAAGCATATCAATACAGAAAAAAAGGTTGGTGCTTGAACCTGAAAAGCCTAAGAAGAGTAATGAAGTGTACCATTGGTGCTCCCCTGTGTCCAATTAAAGCAGGAGCTGATCCCAGATTGCTCCTCTCTTTAATGCAGGGGGAGTACATGCAGAGGAACATGGTACAGAGTCACTAGAACAGTTATATACAGCACCATGATGGTCATCCGTCTCATTGAAACAGACACAGGCAGAGAATTCACTATAAGAATATGCACTTTCTGTGACATAAGATGCATCAAGGTGGTGCAAAATAAAGTAAAAAGTATATTTCCTTTTGGATATTGGAAATATGCTAAAAAAAAAAACTCATCCTTACCTCTCATACTGATACGGAAGACATGCAAGGCTATTGGCCAAGATAATTGAGTCATTAAAACTACACCAGCTATGTGTAGATATGGAGCAGTTACCTGACAAATTGGAATGGAGAACATTAAATGTCACCGTTATGTGCTCCAGTATTAATATTATATAGGTGTGCGATAGACATTTGATAGTAAACATGCCTGAAAAGATAAAAGTACAGTCATCCATTTCTTGCTCCATAAATCTGTGAGAACAGATGAGGCCACAATGGAGAGAATCAAAGTCACTGAGATCCCAATCTATCAAAAGAGATACCATCAATTCTCATACTCAGACTTTCAGTTGTTACATAGACGAGATGTGGATGAAATTATTACCTTGTGACACCAATGTAAATATAACCTCTGGCCTTCAGAGAGAAGACAAACTGCCAGCAGCTGTGAATGTAAGCACATTTCATACCAGCAACTTATCGGATGGACATTTTAGTAACTTGTTAATGAGACTTTAGTCATAAAAGCAAAAGAAAACCACACTGACAACAATGATACAATAAGTACATTTAATCTGCCACAATGGAGAACATTAATCTGTTTAACAAAAGTGATTTCTTAACTGTGGGGTTGGTTTTCTAAGAAAAAAAAAACATTAAAACTGGTTATGAGAATGAACATTCTTAAAGCACATACCAGCAGAACAGCAACATAAGTGAACAAAAAAAACAGCAAGAATCAAAAAAACTATGGACCATGGAAACCAGAAACCCAGATTACCAAAATTAAGCCTGGAGGTAAAGCAGAAGAAATATTACTTAAGTGTATTATTAAAGGTCCTATATTGTCAAAACTGAAATTTCCTGGCTTTTTTCATGATAACTGAGGTCTAGGTGCTATGTAAGGTTGACGGTCGCCGTGACAACCGCATCAACTGTTGGCTATTGCCACCGGCAGTAGTGCACGTGACGTCACACTCTATAACAAGCATAATACAAAGTTTTGTATACAAGTGTAATAATAGAAACAATTGTTTTATTTAGACTATAAAAGTCTATGCTAATTCACAAATTACCTCAAACGCCATACACGGCGTTTGATCCTTTAGATTGGCAGGTTTGAGCGCAGGAAAATACAGTACAGAATACAGAAACCAAATACTACATCGACAATCTGGAATCATTTCCATTCATGTCACCCATCTGCATTTGTACAAGTGTCTTCAAGTTCACGTGATCGCAAACGATAATGATATGATCATGCAGTCAATACAGATCCAAAGAGAAAGGAAAAATTGAAATCGCATCATATGACCCCTTCAACAATGCCATTGTTGTTATATCTATTCAACTATTAAAGAAATGTTACAGATTGAAAACAATTTAAAATTAACAGTAATGAACAATGGAGGTCAATAAAATATGTAAAATGTATCTTTTATGTATGACACAAACCAGTCAAAGTCATTGTAGTCATTCCGAGCTTCACTCCAGAAGTACAGGAACACCAGACTGAGACAAAATGTCAGAACGATCAGAGCAAAACTGCCACACTCCAGCTGCAAGATTAAAAACAATTAAGCCTTTTTAAGCCATTATATAACACATAAATATCTGGCTTACTATCATTGCATTTTCAACCTTCCCTAAATATTACTATAATAATCCCATACGGGCATATAAGGACACAAACCTCATAGAGTAGCAAAGTACTCTTTTTGTATCAATGTATATCTCCTTTTACTGTAACAGTGAATATTTGCTTTGATCAGGTTAATTTGCTTAAGTTACAGCTTAATTTTAAATGATCTCAGCATGTACATTATAAGTTCAAATGAGAGCACCTTAGAGCAGCAGAAGTGTCCAGGCTGAGCATGTGTGAGCTGGTAACGTCTCCACAGGCATCCGTAGAGTCCAGAAAGACAGGAGACAAATGTCTGGTGCTCACTGCTCATAACGTTGTAGCAACCTCTGGCGTGCCACTTTCAGCTTACCCAACTTCAGCTGGGTTACCTCGGTCTGTGTTGTGCCCATAAGCGAGATGAATGAGGGTTCTGTCAATACATAAATAATATAATTACTTTCATCCCTTAATAATTTTAGTTTATGTTTAAAGCATTGAGATGATGTTACTAATAATCAGTGCAGTATATTATAAAGTGTCAATCTGTAATATTGCGTTTGCTTCAGCTAGTCTATATTTTATGCCAGTGTTGTTTCCAATTGTGCAATTTGAATTAAAGGGGTCATATGATGTTGCTAAAAATAACATTATTTTGTGTATTTGGTGTAATGAAATGTTTAAGCTTAAAAAAACATTATTTTCCACATACTGTACATTATTGTTTCTCCTCTATGCCCCGCCTTTCTGAAACGCGTCGATTTTTACAAAGCTCATCGGTCAAAACTCGCATTTGAATCGTCTCGCTTTCACAACGAAACACAGCGTCACACACGGCGGCCGTGAGTGAGCGGCGGCGGCCTAGAGTGAGCAGAGGCCGGGGGCTAGAGTGAGGAACGGCCGGAGGGCTGAGTGAGCGGAGGCTGGCGGCTAGAGTGAGGAACCACTCACTCTAGGCCGGTGGGCTTGAGAACGGCGCGGCGGCAGATTCGACGAAGGAGGCTTGCGGCAACCACATGTGACGACCCTGGGCTGGACTCCGCTTCGTCCACGATGTGTTTAATTTCTTCTGCTGATACACAGACAAAACTAAATGGGAGGAAGAATTAGCTACTGATATTGATTATGAAACATGGGATGACATTGGGTCTTATGCTAAGAGAATATCTGTTTGTGCACGTACACGAGAAATACAATTTAAAATCATACAGACTCCATATTTCTCCTAACCGCAGGCATTTTTTTTAACCCCTCTCTATCGCCTATGTGTTTAAAATGTAAAACTGAAGTAGGTACTTTAACACGTTAAAGGTTGGCATAATTTTTGAACTGATTCCCCTGGAGCGTCTTACCTATGTATTACATATAAAAACAGGCCTGTTTTATAAAGTCTGGACTCTATGGAACCCCATCTTCACCCTATTATACTACAAGGAATATTGTAAGTGTGTAACTGCCCTATTCTGTTTTCTGCCCTATTCATTTTTTCCCCTCTTTCCCTAATCTGTTATATATGGGGTAGTCCTGTTTTATTTAATAATCTGAGCTATGTGTGTGTGTGTTTTTTGTTTTTTTTGGTTTGTTTCTTTTGGGCGATGCCTTGTTATTTTTGTATTACAGTGAAAATTCAATAAAAATAATTATAAAAAATTTAAAAAATAGACGTAAAGTTTCTTAAGGTAATGTTTCCATCAAATGATTCCATCTTTTTGTACTTATTTATAAATTCAAACCCTCTAAAAACCCAAATGAAGGTTGGCCTGCAAATTGACGTCACAGTTCTATATATTCTGATTGTTCTTTCAGATTTTTTGTATGTAATAGTATTCATAGTTTAATAGCTTTAGGTCGGTACAATATGCATTTTTATTGTTATAAATGTAAGTGGAAAAATAAAAAATTTAGGATTAACATTTTCTTTAAAACATTTGCAAAATGCTCTTTATTCAAAATCTATCCACCGGCAGTGATGTCACTGTAATATTTGCATACTGAAAGGTGACCCCACCCACTTTTCCAGCAGCCTTGGTTTAGGAATTATTTATCCCGTTCATTTTTCCCATGGGGATTTACAAAAAAGTATTTTTTTAAGAGTTTTATGCCATGAAGCAACCAGTTTACAGACTTTGATTTGAAGCAAAAACGTATTACAATCTACAGTCCCATGAAGCATTGCAAATAGCAATCAAACTAAAAATGATGCAGAAATATTAAACTATTGACATTTACTGCAAAATATACGTAATATGCATATAAATAGTTAAGTAGTTTGAGTGCTTATGAAAACTGACTGCTGAACTCAGAACCGCCCCCTAGCATTCTACTCTTGCTGTTTTTACAACATCTTTTTATGGCAGAAATAGTAGTAGTACACTTTTATGCATTTCTAAATTCAGCATAGATTATTTGTTGTGCTTCATGGGAGTGTACAGGCACTAAAGAGTTATTTTGGCACAATTTTGCTTGTTGCGATTCTCTGAATAATTGATATTTCTTTGCACAATTATGGGTAATGTATTTTTCACCAAGAATTCCACTGTTAAACATGATTATTAAAATAATAAGTTGAAATAATGCAGGCTGATGGCTTCAACAAAAGCAAATATCATCGGTTAACAACCTCATAGCTCACAGTAGATTATAGGTTTACACATTATCTTTAGAATTTATTCCCATATTGAGAAAATGAATCACAGTTTTACTATGTGAGACCTGACCGTTCCACTCTATTCTGTGTAGTGTGTTTGTTTATAAATTGTGAGTACAAATTTCCATAATTGGGAAGAATCCGTCTCTCTCTCTCTCTCTCCATGCCTTCTCTTGCTTTACCCCTCCCTCTATCTAAATTTGGATTTACTTAAGATATTTATATTTGGATGTTAGATATAAATATCTTCATAAAATATTTATATTTGTATATATTTGGATGTATAAGGGTTAACTTGGTAAACTATAATTTAATCTAATGCTTTTGACTTCTCTGCTGTTTTCTTACTTGACGGTGTTTTATAGAAAACTTATATTTCTCAATAAAAGAAATCAGTTAAGTCAGTAACCTTCCTTTTCTGCTTGTACTATTGTCAGTTTGATTCAGCAGCAAGAAAAATGGGCTTAAGTATTTAAAAGGCCACCAACAATGCCGAGTCCAAATCCAACTAACACCCCATTATACACAATGCGACAGTGTTTGTTTTTTAAGAAGCAATACACTGTTTATGATATTTAATCTGTCTTCTACTTGTCATCACAGCTTGCCCTGAAAGGATCCAGTTACAATGGGCTTCTGGAGAGACACAATATACACACCTTCAATGTTGGACAGATTGTGGACAGCCTACAGTAAGATGATGATCAGAAATGGAAACTCTGACAGTATTTGAAGTCATTTTTAAACAATTTTCAAAACGGTCCTTTTATTTTTGTAGGAAAAAAGGGATTGAGGTGCGCATTGTCAAAAGAGGCGAGTATGATGAGGACACAGTACGATGGGCCGATGCCATCATCTCTGCTGGAGGTAAAGCTCAGCATTTGCTTTTTATGTTTGATAGTTTTAACTGTGCACCGGTTGACACATGAGAAATTTCATGTACTTCTTTTCTCTTTTGTAAAATTCTAACAGCCTTGTTTATGTCATAGGTGATGGCACCATGCTACTAGTTGCCAGTAAAGTGTATGATAAGAACAAACCTGTATTGGGGGTCAATACAGACCCAGAAAGGTAATAAAAGCTATCCTATAGTGAGTTGAAGTTTCTTGTTTGTTTTATAAATATATAATGTAGCTGTGTTTTTGTAGGTCAGAGGGTCACCTGTGTTTACCTGTGCACTATACACAGGCCTTTTCGGAGGCCTTACAGAAACTCAGGAAGGGTGAGTTCAGGTGGGTACCTCTTGTTTACTGTTGCTTACGGTCAGCAATAATCCAATTTGCAGTCAGTTGTTTTCTGCCACATCTCTTGCAGAAGTACTCAGTAAAAGTACTTTGCCCTCTTGTAAAGAAGTTCTAGTTCAAGTGAGCAATTTTTTATTAAAAATACGTTTGATATAGACTGTGTACCCCACTGGAAAGCTAATGTTACTAGCTAATAACTCTTTCTTATGGGACAAGGATTGGTTTTCCTCTTGGGGGAGGTTCTTGGCAGCTCAGAAAGCCAAATCCTCTTTTAAGCCGTATTCAAGGCTAGGGACGTTTTGTGTGTGTCAACAAAGAAATTTGTCTACTAAAATTATAGTTGAATATAACTGAATTAAATCTGTTAATTCTGATTATTAGTACCTGACATACAAATATAATCCACCCCAACCAAATATATAAAGTGATTAAATGTTTATGTTAATGTTCTATGATGTATCCCTCTATGTCTTTCCTTTCTCTTTTTTTTTTTTAAAAAAAAAGTAACTATCTTCGCTAGGTGGCAGTGGCGTCAGCGCATCCGTATGTACTTGGAGGGCACCGGGATCAACCCGACTCCAGTGGACCTGCATGAGCTGCAGCTGAGCCTCGAGCAGCACAGCAAGGCGCACCGCGTCACTACAGACACTCAGAGCAGTACGAATCATATTGTACTCATTACTATTTTAACACAACTTTCCTCTATGCTGCTCTTCTGACTTCAGAGTCTTACAAATAATATCAAAAAATGTCTAGGTCATATTTCACAGCAAAAAAAGGAGAAAAGATTAATTTTATTACTGTATTACAATAATGAGAATGAGTAAAAAATAAAAAAAAATAAAAAAAAGGAAACGTGTAGTTGCATAAAAATAAAAGAAATAAAAAATAATATAAAATATTATAATTAAATATTAAATGAAATATAAAAAATATAATTAAATATGATGTGCTGTTTTCATTTTTGTATTAAATTAATGAGTGAGATGTTTTTTCATTGAAATAATAAGTGTTGGTGGACATGTGCTTATATTTTGTAGGAATTAAGTATTAAATTAACAGACTGAAAAATTGGCTTAATTTTTGCACATTAATTTGTGTGTGTGTGCTTTTTTTGAGGGTAAATATAACCCTGACATTTCTTTGTTCTCTCAACCAGGGTTATTACAGTTATATTTAGGGATGTAACGATTCACTCAACTCACGATTCAATTCGATTCACGATTCGATTCACGATTTTTTTTTTTTTAATAAACTTTTCTAAAGACAGTAAGTTCCCCTCAGACATGCATTCATATAAACTCCTACCCCTAATTGAATTGTGATTTGTTTAGCATCTCAACCGATTTGAATCGTCACATATTTGAATCGATTTTCAACCGGCTCGCGGTTAATCGTTACATCCCTAAATTATGAAGAGATTTATTTTATTTGTGTTTTTTCATTTTTATTTCTATTTCATTTTTGGTTTTGATTCAATGTTTTAAATTCATTTAATTTCACTTCGTTTTATTTTTTTTTACTTCGAGTTCTTTTTTTTTAATCTACTGGCATTTTAATGTTTAATGCACCTGCATTGTTTCATAATAGTTTTATAAAATAGCATGTATCAAAAGTTTTACAAATGTTATTTTAAAAAATTACTTTTATTTTACATTCCGGAGTCATTTTCCTGATTAGGTGTTTTAATTTGTTAACAAGCACGTTTTCACTTATGTTTAGTTTTATGTTAAAGGAATAGTTCACCTCAAAAATTTATATTTTGTCATCATTTCCTCACCCTCATGTCGTTCCAAACCAGTACAAGTTTCTATCTTATGTTGAACACAAAAGAAGATATTTTAAAGAATTTTGAAAAACCAAACAGCTGTTGGTCCCTATAGACCAATTTGGAGTAGACGTCTCAGTTACGTCACTTGCAGCTGTGCGCGCATTGTGGTGGCAGAAAAACACAGGGAACAAATGGAGGGAAACGGGTAAAATCCATGGAATAAGAGAAAAAATGTATTGTTTGGATGTCTGAATCAGAATGCAAATCATTTTTATAGAATAATGTCATAAAAGACGCCATTTGAAGCTAAATGCAGACGTTTAAACGGACAAACTATGAATGAAACCTGCTACGATTACACTACTTTTAAAGCATAAATTTGATTTAAACAATAGGTCTAGATAATATTCACATAGGGGACATATTGTATTAGCCCTACAGTTAAAGCATGAAATACTATTTAAACGTATAACATTTTACATTACATTTAGCCTACCTATTTTATCTCACAATTCTGACTTTTTTTCTCACAAATG